CGTGGTCCCCATACACGATTAGCAACGGTAAATCACAGACGCGCCCTCCCCGATTTTTTTGAGGGAATGGGGCGGCTGCACACAGGCTACAAAAATCATGATGATCATAAGATATCTGAAGTAAATACAAACCTGAAATGCAAAACAGATAATAGGAACTGAAGAAAAAGTGGTTGTCCAAGGCTCTTCAATCCTAAGATGTGACAACAAAATTAAAATCTCATCATTAACTGTTTTAAATTACTATTCTGATGTGTAATGTTATTTCACCTGGAAAGTTTCAGAGAATGTTCAAAATAAAACTCCATAATACAATGTAGTGTATTAGTTTGAAAATTTTGTGACAAATTTGTACATATTGCAAGTCAAACCAATGAAAAGGATAAATGTTTATCGACAGAGTGAATTAATACTGATTTTGTTTCCATTCTTAATTTAAAATGTTGTACATAGTTAGAGTGAAAGGTAGTCTATAATCAAGCCTACTGAACCACCCAGCCATGTAACATAAAGCAGCTAGGAGTATCACCACTCACCCATGGATGGGATGCTAGTCCATGGTAAGGTTACCCTCCTGACAATTCACCTGTACCCATTTACCGGTATACTCCAGGTGGGGAGGGGCACATACTAGAGCCTGTTGAACCACCCAGCCATGAAACATGATGCAACAAGGAGTATCACTACCCCAACATGGATGGGATGTTAGTGCATAGTAAGGTTACCCCCCTGACAATTTGTCAGTACCCGGTTATACTCCTGGGTGGGGAGGGGCACTGTGAAAGTAAAATGACACATTGACCTGGGCAGCTCTCAAACCCAGACCCTCAACCCAGAGTCCAGTGCACTGGCCACTACTTCTCCCGTAATAATGAATTAACATTATTACATTACTTACCGGTTAAAGTCTTTTCTACCGCTGTGATGTCCTTCAAAGTATTTTATGACAGTTACTATGCTAACAAAAAATGCAGCAAATGTTCCAAAAAAACTGAAAATGAACAATGCAATGATATTAAAATTAAGAAGAAAATGGAGACATCTGCAGGCAAGAAGGACAATTATAATAAGACACTGTGCTAAGTTCCAGATGACAAAAAGCACAACAATTAAGGGAATGACATTGACTGTACCCCCCCAATGCAATATTTTCTTACTGAACCAATAGACACACCTCGAATAGCTGAGGACTCTCAGTGTCTTCGGTAGGCAAAGTGGCAAGAGAAAGACAAGGCTTGCAACACCAATAAGAAATTTACGTTGTAAATACCAGCCAGGAGCAGATTCAATAGCCTCCCCAACTGAAAATAAATGTATAATCAACTCCTAGAGTACCTAGCTACAGGTATACCTTTATATGTGGCTAGTCTCCAAATGGATATCACTGAAAATGGATTTCTCAATAAAAATGAATGTTGTGTGCCCATTACAACTTTTTTTTCAGAATGAAGGTAGTTTGAATGAAAGCCCTAAATTTTGTTGTGCCCAGTGTGTCAATGGAAAGGGGAAAACTCACGAGTTACGTGTACTCAGCAAATGTAGGCTCTCAATTAGACTGTAGCAGCTGTTGATACTTAGGGATGCTCTTCAGAAAAGACTGGATATTCCAATATGATCTATTTCCTAGAGTTTTTACCATCAAACATTTAACACAGTTACAAAAAGTACTATCATTCATGTTTTACTGTTTTACTATTTTACCTGAATAAATGGAAGCATCATTATTTTAGTCTGTGTAAATGAGACCTTAAGATTATATTTTACAGCTACTATGACTATAACATACTCTGAATATGCACACTTTCATTTATCACCTTAAAGTTTTGGTTAACACTTTCTCTCATTGAGGAACAAAAAGCATGTTTAGAATTATGATGATCATAACAATAGCATGACAGAAAATTGACATAAAACACTTGCAAAATAGAAACACAATTGTTTGAGGCATTGTGGCTGAGTGGTTAGGGCACGAGACTTGCTATCAGGTGGTCTCAAGTTCAAGCCCTCCACCCTGCAACTCAGTGAATTTGTTCTCAGCTGCCCTCTGCTTAACTCCTTGGTTGTACTTTGTTATAGCCAACTGATTTGCTTCTGGCTAGTTTGGATTTTAAAACTTTGTTTCTCTACATTTTCTTTTTTTGTATTGGCCCTGAAAAGTCCTATTGGAGGAGTGGTCAATCAACGCTATTGTCATTATTACTGTTACTATTATTATTATTATTATTATTATTATTATCATAATTATGATTATTATTATTATTATCATTATTATTATTATTATCATTATTATTATCATTAGTACTTTTATCATTATTATTATTATTATCATTATTATTATTATCATCATTATTATTATTGCCATTACTTACCTTTCTCAAGTTGATCACCAATCAAAATCATATATGCCACAGTGCAACCAAACATATACAATGTTATCACTATTTGTGTTGCAACATATGCCCTTGGTCCCAGGACTGCTCTAATTATCTCTTGAAAATTATGTGAGCCGTGGTTTTCAGCGCAGTATGCTAGGATCAGGAATGCTCCCATAATAAACACCAATAAGCACTGCAAAAGACCATGGTTGTGACAACACTACTAATCAAATGTCTCATAAAAATTTACTAAGCAAAGTAAAATTATCTTGCATGCTAGAATACCGTATGTAGCCTAAAAGTTTATTATAATATAGGTTTCCAAACTTATTTATAATTTTTTAGAAATTCCAGTTGGTCAATTGACCCCTATGAGTGACTAGTATCCAACAGTCCTCCTACAACATCACTTCTTAGTCAAACATTAATGTCACAAGTAAGAGGGAAATGATGACCAACCAAAGAAGCTCCTGATTTTTAAACAAATTAATTATCCTTGTCAGTATGCATACTGATTTTAGGGTGTAAAAGGTTGAGAGAATTGGTTTTATTATAATGACCCTAATTTTCTATGATTCTGCCCAATATTGTTGATAAAATACAGAAATGTCTGACAAGTAGATAAAATTATGGTTTGCTATTTCTTACGCGTGACTTCCTCAAAGCTGCATAATTATAGAACTCTCAAATTGAAATGGAATAAATTTGCATTTTTAAGTACCGGTGAGAACAACAAACAAAAATCGGCCTTGCCTAGAAACTGATTTGGGTCAATTGCTGTGATCTTGGTTGAAATTGGTCGGTGTTGTTTTCATTTCATGGAAAAATACGTACCATATGAATAATCAGCGCGGTGAAAATTCCTCCACATTGTGCATACGCTTGAGGAAAATTCAAAATCCCAGCACCAAGTGCTGAATTCACCACCAGAAGTGTTGCTCTCCAAATGGGTATTCCCTTGCTAAAATGATTTCCATCCGATCGTTGGATAATTGTGTAAGAGGCAGGGGTAGTGTCTAGAGCACCATTAATGACAGGCTTGCTAACCACACTGACTCTTCTGCCATTATAGTGAATGACTGGACTTTCATAATGACCATTCGGCACGTTGTCTTTCACCAGAAGAGCTTGTTTTTCCGATAAGCCGAGGCTGTGATTCATGTTCTCTGAAGCTCAAAATTTCTGGAGACTTCGAATGAAAAGTGAGAATACTTCAATTCAGTCGCAGTTTTTCACTTTGTCGCTAACGAATTACTAAACAATGGTGTTTTGTGCCAAACAAATCTGCACGTGAATTTTTGATGAAATCGCGGTGTCCCACAGCCTGAGTGTCCCATGGCTAGGTCGAAGTTTAAAAACAACACGAGGCCTGCTTTAGGTTTTAACTTCTCTCGATTAAAGGAAACAAAAACCATTTATCTCTATATTAATTCTTATTTCCCGGAAAAAATGCCGCAGGATTGAAGAAAGCGTTCTTTTAGTTAAATCAACGTATAAAGAATATATAAAGATCTTAGAGTTGATCAACGTGACTTACTCAGTGTTTACATCTATATCTCCCGCCACTGCATGTGCACGTTCGAACAGACAAAATATTTAAGACTTTGGTACCGTGATATTTGACGAGACTGAGATGGAAATGAGAAAGTTCTGCAAAATAGTTTATGGAAAAGTTCGTCGCCGCAACGTGTGACTTGGCTGTGACATAAGCATGATTTGCAACAGGAGGTTTGCCTTGTGGCGTTTTTTCGTGTCGGGTAGACTTGCGCTCGCCTCTGCTTCACTAAATAGCAGGGAAAAATCCTTGAAATTAAAAAGAATAAATAAAATACCACCCTTGCTGTAGGCAAGTTCTGTTCTACAGGACAAGATCATGGCTTGTGTGCGTTCTGTGAAAACTTGATAATCAGGTATTTTGTTCTTGTATAAATTCCCAAAGCGACGCAGAGATGCTTACTAATTTGGCAGTTTCATAGTCTTGTGACACAAAATGTGAGTAAATGAAATGTATCCGTTCAAAGTCCTCGATTGCGATACCTCAGACTTTTTCATTGACGTAGCCAATTTTATCTTTTTAGCGTCCGCGAAATGTGTCTTCATGATGGAATCAAACTGCTTATTTACACATGTTATGCATTTCTGGCCTTCTCAGCCACGTGCTTTAGTGACATGCAAGAACTCAATCCGCAAATAACCCCTCAAAGCAGCAGGAGGGACTAATCTAACCTGTTCCATGCGTTCAGTCGCGTTCAGGTTGCAAAACGGGGCGCACAGGAGGTTGGGTGCGGTCGCAAATAGCCCCTCAAAGCAGCAGGAGGGACTAATCTAACCTGTCCCATGCGTTCAGTCCGGTTCAGGTTGTAAAACGGGACGATCAGATGCGGTCGATCGCGCTCGAACACTGGAGGTCATGCTACCCTAGTCCCAGCGTGATATTTGGCAACGACTTTGCAGAAGACACCGAAAAGGGGGCACCATTATTGTTGTCGGTTCAATTTGAGGATGAGGTGGATATAAATTAAAGTGCCCTTTGTCAAAAGGCTTAGCTGTATTTCAGCCCCCATGAATGCCAAGGAAGCGAAGTGTGAGGCGCGTACGGACATGGGGCAGGGGGAGAAAAAAACAAAAACAAACAAAAAAACAAAAATTACGCTCGACCGGACAGACAAGTGACAGGAAAGGGCGAGGAGAAAAAGAAAAGGCCTGTTGCCTGGCCCCAATATTAATCATTGTCCGGCCCTTTAAACTTTCGCTCCCTGTCAACTATTTAATGAGAAAGATAAAATGCCAAAAAACATTGGCGGAAAAAGTTTCGCCCCCTCAGAAATCGATTAATTTCAAACACGCGCACAGGAATGGGACAACTATTATAATCTTAACGATTTCATAATTAACAGATGTTCGATCTTCTAGTTGGAAGATTGCTCCTATTTCAAAGAAATACCTGTTCTCATCATGTATCATGATGATACATAATCATCCTAACTCTGCGGGAAAAAAAAAACGTGACTAGTAGTTTGTTTGAGAGCATGCTGTTCACGAAAATAGCAACTGAGATCACGTTTAGGTCGTGTCGAGTGTCCTGAAAGCTGTCGATAGCTGGGAGATTTCGCCAGATTATTAATGATTTCCTCGAAATGGACGACTTTTTTTTTTATCTTTGATCTATGTTGAAAATAATGAAAGTAAGCAAAACATTAAAGTTCCAGTTGAATGAATGAGAATCCTAAAAGCGTGCGAACAAGTGTATCGATGAAAGAAAATCTTGAAAGTACCCAAGAAACTAAAGTAACTTACGAATAGAGAAGTATCACTAAGTGCGCGAGATACTAAAGCAACAAAGCAATAAATGAGAATCCTAAAGCGTCCAAGGTACTAGCGTAACAATGCTTTGAAAGATAATCCTAAAGGTGCACGAGATGTTAACGTAACAATCCTTTGAAAGATAATCCTAAAGTATACGAGATGTTAAGGTAACAATCCTATGAAAGAGAATCCTAAAGTGCACGAGATACTAACGTAACAATCCAGTGAAAGAGAATCCTAACGTGCACGAGATGCTAACGTAACAATCCTTTGAAAGATAATCCTAAAGTATACGAGATGTTAAGGTAACAATCCTATGAAAGAGAATCCTAAAGTGTACGAGATACTAACGTAACAATCCAATGAAAGAGAATCCTAAAGTGCACGAGATGCTAACGTAACAATCCAATGAAAGATAATCCTAAAGTG